TTATTTATTTAAATAAAAAATAAAAAAATATATAATTTTGCTTCCTCTCTTTTTTTCAATCTAGATATAAAGTAAATCTTAATGCCTAATATTTTCTTTTATTTTAACAAATTACGATGATATTATTTCTAACCTTATATGAAAATTTCTAAATTTTATTTGTCTTTATAATTTGAGTAAACAGTAACCATCACTGGTAGCCAGATATGACCGCAGTTTTTTAAGCGAGCCCATCCAAGATTGTAAAAATGATTTTTGTAATAAAAATAACCAAAATTTGAAGCAAATTTTACCCAAAAAAAACTTTTGTACTATTTCATCTCATTTCATTTGTCACATTTACTATAATTATATAAAAAATTGACAATAATTAATATACATTTAGTTCAATACAAAATATAATATATTTATTAAAAATTTATTATTTTTTAATTTAAAATTAAAAATAAACAAATTTAAATATACAATTATACATATATGATGTAAAAATTGATTAAATTGATTATATTTATATTATATTTTTAATTATTAAACAAAAAATATATTAAAAAATATATTAAACTGAATATATATTAATTATTTTTTACATAAAAAATTATGAAAATTAATGGTCAACATCATTAGTAATAACTTAATTTTTTTTAAAAAAATATAACAATTAAAAATGAGGGAAACCAATAAAAACGAAATATTTATGTAGTTAGGCTAATGCACATAATACTTCTTTCTCTTAGTAATTCTTTATTATTATTATTTTATTTTGATTATATAATAAAAAATAATTATTTTTCATAATTTATTTAATTTTATTTTTATATTATTCTATTTAAATTCAAAATATCTTATTTTTAATTAAAAAAAACCACAAAAATATTTAAATAAATAATTATTTATTTAAAATAAAAAAAAAGGTAAATTGACGCACCAATGGAATGGAGGGATACCATGTACGATAAAAATGACAAAAAGTTAAAGGTTAAATCCCCGGTTCAGTCCCTCAACTTTTCTTTTTGAACTAAATTTACCCTCAAACTTCAAAAAGTACAAAAAAATCCTTAAACTTCAATTTTTGGGACCAATTCTATCTTTCCGTCGACGAAAGTGCCAAATGACATGGTAAGATGCCACAAAATCAATTTTTATTTTAAATATTTAATGACGTGGAAAATTATTCACCATCGTGACGTTTTTGTTGTCCACATCATCAGATTCTCACTACTTTCACCCTTTTTAGCGTTTCTGTTCAGATTAAACTGAAACTTTCTACCATTTTCTCTTTCATTTTTCCAGACTCTCGCCTTTTCTCGTCTGCTAAACCTAAATTTGGGTGTGTTGCTTTTATCTTCTTCAAACAAAATCTACAGTAAAAGATTGATGGCGGGTGCCACTGTTCATCCTCTCCAGCTCCGGCCTTCCACTTCCGATGCCATTTATGTTCAAAATCACTAATTTTAGAACAACTCATATAATGAAGTGAATTAATCATAAACTAAGTTAAATAAGCAAAACAAAAAAAAAAAAAA